CAAATACTGCGCAGCACGCCAATGACCCCTGCAAAGAGCTGTGTGACGTCATTGATGCCTTTTTCCGCGCCAAGCACGAGGCAGGAATGGTGCGTAAGAACAAGTATCCCCATTCGACACCCACGTGTTGTGTCCGGAAGTCGAACGGCAATTGGCGTATCGTTCACGCTTACAACATGCTAAATGCTACCACCAGACGCCAATTTCTAGAAAGGACGTTCTCCATAACAATATGGTTGGCTGTACAAAGTACAGAACACTCGACTTGCTCGATGGTTAATACCAATAGCTCATGAGAGCGAGGGATATCCCGCTGCCAGCGGTGAGTACTCCGCCACGCGGGATGCACCAGCAACATTTAATCGTCTTGTGTCGCAATTATTTAGGCCCCATCGGTCGTATGCACAGAGATGCCCTGTGAGTAGCATTCAATTGCTGCTCTTGTGCCTCGTTGAGTTGATTGGTAATAATCCTACTTCTTTCGGAAGCCGATAGGTACATGGGTTCGCAAGGTTTGAGCTGGGCTCACGTCGCGCCGTTGGCGCACATCCTCCTCCTTGTCTTCCGGAGTATCCATCTCGTAGTCGACTACCTCTTACTCCTCGACGAGGAAATCCGTCGCCCGGGGCGGGCGCGGTGTTGCGCTTGGTTATCGAGGGCGTGGGATATGTTTCCCGTGAGGCCGCGGACGTACTGTCCGGAGATACACCCTGTGCAGAAGAAGAAGAAGGGCTTTGCCTGCGGGCGCCCTCGGATCCAGCTAGGCTGGGTGTTTAGTTTGTCGTAGACACAGGGCTCGTAGAGCGGAGAAGGTTCAAGGATTTTCTTAGGGTTGTGAAGGTGTATCAGACACGCGAGCCTCGTACGAGGCGACCGTAAAATGTGAATTGAGGACATTCATAATTTTAATGGGGGGAGTGTAACGTCGCTACACGTACCCTTGTGTGGAAGGTCATGGTGCAACCGTACATAGGTGTGGATTACCCAAAATGGTGTAATCAAACAGTGGTATGGCTATACCGTACATAGGTGTGGATCATACAAGTTGGTGTAATCAAACAGTTGTATGGCTACACCGTACAAGAAGCCATCACGTGGCAGGATTGTAGTAATGCATATTACTATAATTTAAAGTAGGAAAACCTAGGATCTGCCACCGCCAGAACATTTAAATTTAGTTCCGATTTTGAGCAGAAGTGTTTGTTGTCTTGGTTAAGATTTGATTAGTAGATCCGCGACACTCGTACTGGTTTTTGGAAAAAACGTAAGGTCGGTGAACTTAGCTTAGCTTCCTCTAAGCAATGAGCTACGGCAGCCCCGCTTCAACAACGAACTCTTGCACTTTGCAGACGAGATAGCTGGATTCTTTAAGCCAGATCCAGCTTGTTAGCAACTAGCTTGATATTGACGTGAGCTCAAAGGCGTGGATATCGCATCATTAGTTACCGTAGGATAAAGGAACAAAGCTCTCTACTTGTGCAGTGTGTAAGCCGCTGAAGGCAATTTTCATGGACAATCATCTCAGTCTCTTCGTTAAGTGTGGAATCTAGGGCGTCGGTCGCAAGGACCGCGATTTTCTCGAAGACTTGCAGATCCGTGTAATGGTGTACACGAGAAGAACGCCCGATGCAAATATACTTATAGGAGCAATGTAGAGGGAAAATAGTGGAGTGAAGCTTTGAGCAGAAAGTGTATTTAATACCGCGCAATCTCTAAATAGAAACATCAGCCCCAATGTGGTCCATATCCTGGTGGTGGAGGGTGTAACGGAATGTGTACACCACTGTTGTGCACACTTCCCTTACGCGTCCATACGATTGTGCCAAGTACATAATTGCTCCGTTATACGAATTTACAACGTCAAGCAAGAAAGGTGCGTTTTGGATCGGATTAAGTAACGCGTATTTGTTATAAAAAATTTACGCTACATATATGTGCTCTCAAGATCTGGTTCTTACGAGCCACTATCTCTGTGTTTTAGTAAATGCGGACTCTTTCAGCCGAATTTCTGTCCGGACAAGGTGCATGGCATTTCCCCTGCATTTCTCGACACTAGTTAGTAATTTGGTACATCTTAGCTTTGCTTTTGGCTGAGAGACAAAAGTGTGATGTGAACGTGAACCTTACAAACCCTTTGTACATTTGATTCGTCTTGCACCAAGTGCTGCTCCCATGAACATCAGAGAGATGATAACAAAGCGTGCACTTATGTTCAGGCAGACTTTAGGTAGGATAACTGTAACGGGGGAACACGTACCCTGGTATGAAGTGGTGGGTCACACAAGATGTTGTCTCCACACAATTGTGCGTGCACACCTTGAAAGATATTATACATTTTAATTCGGTTTTACTCGCAAAAAACTATAGCCTTAGATATAGGCGGCTTTGCCGCAAATAAAATCAAGAAATACAGTTTACATTTTGAATGGAAGGGTTTATTTACCTTGGGTGAAGGTTGTGGTTATATCTTAGAGTTAGCGGATTGCGATCCGCTACACTCAGACTGGTTCAAGGTCACCGACCTTAGCTTAGCTTCCTCTAAGCGAAAGATCTACGGTAGCCACGCTGCAATAACACACGGGTCATGGGAGTTCATACTCGCGGAGGATTTGTGTTTAAATTTCATCACCCATTATTGTTGTAAAGAGTCTTTTAAGGAGCGCTGCACGTACAAACCATAAAGATGACTTTATACGAAGCGCGAATCCAGATACGCCGATAGCGGTGACTGGTTTGTTGGGTGATAACATCTAAAAGCGCTAATACTGGTGTTGTGATCAAGATCAAAATTAAGTAACCACACGGTACCTGCTCATTCCGCGATTAAACCGTTGTAATGCGGACAATATAAGCAAGCCCTCTTTGTAGGCAAAATGTACTAAAGTTATTAGATTACCAAATGGTAATTAACGAATTTTTTGATTCGCAAAATTAAGGATCAATTGCAGAATTGGTGTGGGTTAAGAAGGCGCCTTAATCACAGCACGTGGCCTTGGCTTCAGGATTTGGGTAATACATTCCAGCGGCCTTGAGTTTTCGGTTGATGTAAAACATGGCACCGGTGATGACAGCCGCAAGAGTCGCGACAAAACCGAGAATAGTCTGCAGAGTCTGCTTATATTCTTCTTCCTTCTTTTGCGCTTCGCGCTGAGATTTTGTCAACTTCTTCTTCTTGCGACTTCGGCGTTTTTTATTCTTGTGATGTCTCCCGGTTTTCTTTCCTTCTGTGTTGGTCTTCTCTTTTTCATCTAAACGCTTTAGGTAGCGCTGAATACGACGTGAGATCTCTTCCCGACAGCGCTCTGACATTTGGGAGGGATCGTCTAAGTTATCTTTCACCTGCTTATGACACTTCGGCGAAAGCTTCGAAATGATGTTCTCCATGACCGTATGTGTCAAGCGTGGGTCTACTTCCCGCGCGTCTGCTGCTTCCTGAATCGACTCAATCGTCTCCTCTTCTACGACGAGATCACTGTCCGCGTCAAATTTCTCTTCCACATGTTCGGTGTCGACAACAACCACGGCAGCCAGAGCCATAACCGTTGCTAGTAACCTAACCTGGAGTCCACGCCGCATTGTTCGATAACACCACCCGGATTGCAATTTATAAAATGACACGCGTCTGAGCTTGTTATGACGTAGAAATTATCTATCGGTTTCCATTATTTTGCCATCACTTGTGTGCAACACTTCATGCGCTAAAAAAAGGGCGTACATAAGATAGTTAGAGAAAAAAAAAGTAGAGGTGTTGCTGGCTAGACAGGAGGACGATGACCACTATTTTTGATGGCTACGATGAAGAATATCGCACTTTGGCCAACGATATTTCCAAGAAGCTTAGTGAAGTTGCATGTTATGAGGAACAAAAAGGTGCGGCGACTCACAATTCATGAGAATTATGCAGTTACTAGATTTATCCTTGTGCTGCTGCAGACAAGAAGAAGGTGGGCATTGTGCACGTGGGCGACTTACTGACGCAAGCTTCGCAACTGGTAAGATGGAGAACTTTTTAAAACGGATGAGGATAGAGTTTGATGATAATATATGCCACACAATGTGCTTTGGAATGCGCAGATCCAGCAAATGGAGTTGGAGGTGAGAAGTTTAGATGCAGCCACCCGCCGAGAACTCTCGAAGAAGGTGGACCAATACAAAAAAAGTTTGGCATCACTTTTAGCAGACCATAAGAAAATTCGCGAAAAAGAAGAGCGCGAAGGACTTTTTGGCGATCGTGATGGTAACGCGGTACGAAAAATTCTTTTTTAGAGTGAGCTGTACACATCATTGCTTTTGTCATCTCTTAAATCGATGCTTTCTTTAGACTTTGGCTGAGCATCGTGGTCGCATGGCAGCAGCAACCAACAAGTACGCGTTTCAACTAGCTGTCTAATCGGATAGCAGTTTATGTGTGTCGCTTGCTGTAGGATGAAAGGCACAACGGATAAGTTAGCCGCTGCAAGAAAAGAAATTGCCGACACAGAGGAAGTTGGTAAGTTTATTGTTCCGGGAGATTTGTTTGACCATTTCTTACATATTGATTGTATTTCGACGGCAGCTCTTGCCATCGGCGAAGAACTTGGCCGAAATCGCGAGAAGATTCAGTCTACACACGCAAAAGTGAAGGGTGTGAACGATATGGCTCGTCGCGGAGGCAACATTGTTGGCCGCATGTCGGCACGAGACAAACGTCAACGCCTGGCGCTATCGATTGCGGCTGGATTTATTATTCTTGCTATTTTATTGCTGATTTATTTTGGCATTTTTAAGAAGAAGTAGACAAGAAAACTTCTCGCATGGCATCCTCGCCAATTTAACAAACGATTCAGTCTATTTTCTACCTAATTGGGGATCTCACAAACCCTTACATATTTCGCCAGTCTGTAACTCCTTCGCTAAGATAACTACTATCTGACCGAATTGAAGACAATCATTTTTTTCTGTTAAGAGTATATCATTGATAGTTTCTGTTCGTCTTTGCGTCAGATGCTAGATCGAAAAAATGGAGCTAACGGGCTCGTATCCAGCATTGTCCGACTTTGTTTAGTCTAAATCGGCATGCATCCACTTTGTCATCAACATTTTAATTTTCGACTTGTCAAAGGAGTAAATTGCAATTTTTTCACTAATAGATTAATATTGTAAAAATAGAATTTATAACTAGATTAACTGTAAAGGTCACAGGATTTGTGCATTCCTGTGCCTGCTTCGCATAATTTTTTTAAATCTGATGTTTTCAAGGAATTTGATCAAAGATGTCATCTCTTTCAATCTTCGGCTGTGCCCCAGTGCAATCAGAGCACGAACTTAGAAGCTTCACCCGACATTCACAGGATCGGTCATTTGGTGACGCAGTTGGAGTGACATCAAAGCTTACACTGTAACGGGGTTACATGAGAGTGACCCGTCACTCTCCCAAGGGAGATGTGGTGTG